CCCTTAGACCCATCTGACCCTTAAACTCAACTGACACTTGGACGCAATTGACCTTTAAACTGAACTGATGAAGCCTTTGCATATCTGACCCTTACTCAACAGACCCTCAAATTCGCATGATCCTTCGGACTCAACTAATCCTTAGACCCATCTGACCCTTAAACTCAACTGACACTTGGACGCAATTGACCTTTAAACTGAACTGATGAAGCCTTTGCATATCTGACCCTTACTCAACAGACCCTCAAATTCGCATGATCCTTCGGACTCAACTAATCCTTAGACCCATCTGACCCTTAAACTCAACTGACACTTGGACGCAATTGACCTTTAAACTGAACTGATGAAGCCTTTGCATATCTGACCCTTACTCAACAGACCCTCAAATTCGCATGATCCTTCGGACTCAACTAATCCTTAGACCCATCTGACCCTTAAACTTAACTATCACTGAGGCGCATCTAACCTTTAAACTCAACTCAGACTTCTACTTATCTGACCCATAATCAACTGACCCTTATATTCACCTGACCCTTCGTACCATTTTGACCCTCAGATTCGTGTGATTCTTCGGACTCGGCTGACCCTTGTATCCATCTGGCCCTATGCTGAAGGTTTTACGCTTATTGATAAAAAAATCCATCTGGCCCTCATACTCATTTGACCCTTAGATTTATTTGACCCTTAAACTCAATTGATCCTTAAACTCAACTGACAGTTGAACACAACTGACCCTTAAACTCAACTGAGCCTTTTACTTATCTGACCCTTACATTCGCCTGACCTTTCGTTCTCTTTTGACCCTTAGATTCAACTGACCCTTTGATTCGCGTGATCCTTCAGACTCAACTAACTCTTACACTTATCGGATCTTCACACTCACTGACTTTTATATGAAGGGTCCCACCCTTAGACGCCTTAGACCTATATGGACTCTAATTCCCTCTCATCTCCTCCCCCTGCTGCTTCCCTCTTAATTTCCTGTATTACTCTATTGCCTACTTTCTTCCTGTTTTTTCCTATTTTTCTTCTTATTAGTTGCTTATATAAACCCGAAAAAAAATACAACTCCCCACAAGCAACTGGACAGCTCAGAAGCATACCGGGATATCCTGCGTTTACTGAGCTTGAGCAGTAGCGAGTAAAACCAGAAAAAGGATGGGTGACCGAAAGGGAACATGGCAGAACTACAAGCAGAGATATCTCGAGAACCAATGGACCGATCTTTTTTTCTTTTTTTCCCTTTTTTGTTTCCCTGAGTTAATAATATTTATATTTTTGGCATTCTTGCACCGATTAATTTATGCAAGATTTAATCAATTAATCGATGTTAGAATGGAACTGGTAGTGTGAAGAGGGTAGGGGGGGAGGAAGGAAGGAAAGAATATACGGTAGAGGAACGTTGGGGATACGTTTAGTTTCAACCTAATTTCAACGTACAATCTGGAAAAAATGGAAAAAAGAGACGGTATTTATGTCGAAAGTAGGTTGAATCGGTGCATTTGAGCCTGTACACTGGACGACGTACTTTCAACGTCCTAAACCCACCAGTGGACCTTGAAACTACGTTGAGAGACCCGGTAAAATTTCGACTCCGACCATCGATTAAATTCGAATATACATAATTAATAAATTTTTTTATATTTTCTTTTTGGGACTCTGCACCAACCACATCCACGTCGTGAGTCCTGGTTCACGCAGATGAGTTGCTCAGGTTTGAATCCTTCACCAATAACTATTGCTTCCTTTAGGAACTTGTTTACTTCATTGAGAGAAAAGAATTTTAATTCTTCAAAATGAAGGGATATCCATATAAAATTACTTTCATTTTATTGTCGTAAGAAGGTACGACGGAGTTTAAAAAGGAAGCCCTTCCATTGACATTTATAAAAACTGATGAATATAATAAGAATGAACCACAGGAATAATGAACTTAAGACTCCACGACTTATACTTATATTTTTTTGCACCAAAGTAGTACATAGTACCTGTGAAGATGTTCGAATTCTAAGGTTATACCAATCATTACCAAACCATTTTAAAGATAGTTTTGAATACTAGATGTGGAATAAATGAATTTACCCGGTTAACTACATTTACTCCTGATCTTTTTAAACGTCTCATCAAACGTAGAGTTAATTCCCGGTGGCTTGGCGCAGTGGGTAAGTTCGTTGCCTCACAGGCGAAAAGTTCCAAGTTCAAATCCCGGCCGGGTAGAACGGTGCGATCTTACCATTTAAAGTCTTGATCAGCATCGCAGTATACCCTAAGCGGGTCGAAGCGATGTAAACTAACGATAAAAAAAAACGTAGAGTTAGTCTTTTCTAAATGTTTCGTTACAATTATTGAACGAAACGGAATCGAGCTTGGTGATGAAAAATGTGTCATGTATCACGCGAAGTCATCAGATCTACTAGCTGATGAGCCGCTTTTAGTACTAACCTTGCTATCTGCTGAATAGAAAAGCGATTCACCAACTCCAATAGCCCAAAGATGATAAAGAGTAGGAACAATCAAATTCAAGCGATTGGTCTTCATAACACTGTTTGTACAAATTTATGAAGTACTATTTTTGGAAATATTGAACTTTCGGTTTATATGCGGTATAGGCTTGAGAGGTTAAAAGGCTTTATTAGCAAGGTAGTTAACCACTATCCTCAGCAAGTATGTTAGTACTTTCATTCAGACACTCGACTCCATTGAAGGCGTGTGTATTCACATTTGAGGATACACCAAGCCGTATATGCATTATGAAGATTCATTCGACCCCGTCATGCTTAACGGGAGAAGCAGTTATCGCTGATATTTTCACTTTTTATGGAAAACATCATTTTGAGACACGTATCGTTCACATCTAGAAAAATTCGGTGCGCTGTGTTGATGGCGAATTGTGAAAGACGCTCAGAATTCCCTTCAGATGAAGGAGTTTGATATTCTAAGCTCTTCCGCAGTCTTTCAGCAGTTGTTTCTTTGTGCCTAGGTGAACGTGCTATCTGTTTGAAACGTTTGGTGAAATTGTCCAATGTCCATTGGTGTATGTGTGAGTCCATTTCAATTTCAATATCAGTGTTAATATTACTGTTAATGTTAATGTTAGAGCCCATGTCAATAAAGTCATGAGGCTCCACTTTTATCTAACCTTCTATATCCTCATCTTATCAATTTTTTCCATTTTCAAATGTATTTTCAATTCTAAAGATGGCAGAATTTGTTACATGAGGTATTTTATGCCAACGCCCGCCATAATTTAATAAACAGAGATTTTTTGCTGGATTGCCTGGATTAAAAAACTATCTGCAGTTTTTTTTCGAATTTCTATAACTCACGTTCTAATCAACTGATTTCCATTTATCAAGCATCAAAATGTTTCATTTTACTGGCTCACATACAAAACAAGTATTTTTGACACTGCTTCTACGTTCACCTCGTGCCGAAAATTGCCTTTTCGTTTACTCATATACGAAAAATAGACGAAAATTCTTTTCGTTTACATGTATGGTACATGGGGCACCATCACTGTCAAAAAATGTTGTTCGACACATGTGAGATGGGAATTTGCACAAGTGTGTTTCACATGAGCTGAAATCGAATAGGAGCTGACTCGTAACGAAATATACTATAATATTTTGGCAATGCTAGAAGTTGAGTAATCTTCTGGAATAGTATATTTCGATACGAGTGAGATGCAATTTTTACGAGTATGAAGTTGGCGGCTCGAGGCGAAGCCGAGGGCTGCCGATCACACGAGTTAAAAATTCCCGCCTCATATGTGTCGAGCAATATTTTTTAACAGTTATGTTACGTTCAACGAGTGGCTGAACGAGTGGTTCTCTTAGAATTCTTTAATGCCTAAAGGAGGTTAGGCCGTGTATGAGGTGAATTTGAGAGTGAATTTCTGTGGGTCCCGGTAGCTTAGTCGGTAAGAGTGCCCGGCGCGTATCCGGGAGACCCGGGTTCGATTCCCGGTTGGGTGAAGCGAAAATTTTTTCTCTCTAAATTCTAATTCTCTTAGAATTTATTTTTTTTTCTCTAAATTCTAATTCTCTTAGAATTTTTTTTTTTGCGCCGGGCCTAAAGGAGGTTAGGCGGGGTATGAGGTGAATTTGAGAGTGAATTTCTGTGGTTCCCGGTAACTTAGTCGGTAAAAGTACCCGGCGCGTATCTGGGAGACCCGGGTTCAATTCCTGGCTGGGTGAAGCGGAAATTTTTTCTCTCTAAATTCTAATTCTCTTAGAATTCTTTAATGCCTAAAGGAGGTTAGGCGGGGTATGAGGTGAATTTGAGTGAATTTCTGTGGTTACCGGTAGCTTATTCGGTAAGAGTGCCCGGCGCGTATCTGGGAAATCCGAGTTCGATTCCCGGCTGGGTGAGGTGGGAATTTTTGCTCTCTAAATTCTAATTCTCTTAGAATTTTTTTTTTTGCTTTCGTTTTACAACCTCACAAGTAAACGAAACGACTTTTCGTTTACTTTTCGTTTACGGGTAAACGAAAAGGCACTTTTCGGCATGCGGTGAACGTACCAGCAGTGTCAAAAATATTTTTTTTTATCACGCTGTGCAAAAAAGTAACTTTTTAGGCACGCTTCGTGACAGAAAATAAAACATTTTGGTAGTTAATAAATTGAAACTGGTTGACTAGAACGTGATTTAGGTAGAGAAAATGAATAACTACAAAAAAATCATATCTGCCAAATTAGGAGAAAATTTTTTAAGCCTGTCAACACAGCAAAAAATCCCCGTTTACTTTCGGAAGGGTGAAGGTCAGAGGTTAATCAGTTTGACATGGAATACCTCGTATGAATTCTTGTTGAAGAAATTGAACAGAGATCATCATGAATTTATCAACAAACGAACAACATATCGGTTTCTACCTTGGATGAATACATTTGCACATTGGAGTATTTGGTGTCCAATTCCTACGATACGTCCGCCCAAAAAATGCAACATAATCCACTGCCTTTTACAAGAAAACAGTCTTCTCTAACACACAGTACACTGACCTTTTTGCAATACTCGAGGATCTGCAGTTTATCTGACATACAACTTTTCTGGTCGGTTGATGAAACCCATCGTCCTTGTTCTCCCATGTGCTGTGCCAAGTACACCTCACTAGCTTCACATAAGGTGGCAACCTATAATTACAGTATTATTCGGTTATCGATCTGAAGCAAAAACGCTTCATATAAATGGTCACTTATTCCTAAAGTCATCCTGAGGAGTTCCCTTGGTTTTCAGAGGTGGAAGACAAGGATGTGAGTGGGAATTGGTAAAGTGCGGGTAAATGTGAGGAGCACAATTTCCCCAGTTCTACTTTACCTGAGGTTCCGACCTTCCACCTGCGGGCGCTAATTCCAGCCTTTCTGAAACAGCCTGAAATCATTCAAAAAATATACAATTAGTCTTTCCATTTTATAATAAACAAAATATAACATCAGAAGAATGGAATTATACAGTGTTACAAGGACATAAAGTTTGATTATTTGTGCACGCGTAGCACGCCATTTTTCATAATACCTGCTGGTGTTACCGGTGACAAACTTTGAATACCAATACGGAGGCAGTCGTCAAGTTTTTCAGGAAAAATCACTCGTGCTTCGCAGTCGTCATTTTTTAACCTGAAAAACTTGACTCCTTCGTTTGTTTGCAATGAACCATCGGGAATTGCTCGATAATTTTGAAGCTCTCGTGGTATTACTTGCGGAAATTGCACACTAGCTTCTGGAAATTGCATCTGATAATTGCATAGTAGCTCTTCATTTATTTCTAACTACACGGAGAGAAAAGTCGGGGAAAAATTCTAGTGCTCAGCACCAGAAACGAGGCGCAAACTGCCGAACTCCCATATTTTAATCGAAATAAGAATAAAAATTCTAGATCAGCACGGAAATTTTGCTGTAGTTTAATCAATTTTTGCAATGAAGCACGAGAAAAATTCTAGAGCATGCACTAGAAAATTTCCCGCTGTGTCAATTTTGTGGGGAATTCCGTAGAAAATTGTGGGAAAAACTTCATTAAGTCTTGGTAACATTAGAAATTTTATTGTGCAGTTGGAGAATTTTTCTAGTGCTAGCGCTAGAATTTTTGCCATTCTTCCTATCCTCATATGTTTCCGCGCGACATCGGCAACGTTCGGCTCGGCGAAGTGAGTCGAACAGCTGCACTCAGGAGTCCCGAGTGGAGACTTACAAATGACGTCTTCAACGTCAGGTAACGTTAGCGCGTGTTCTGCAGAATTATGTGATAATCAGGGATTATTGGGCGTATTTTTCTCTGAAAGTGTGATTAACCATATCAAATTTGTGGGAAAAAAGTGTGAAACAACCGGTCGTAGAAATTGTTGAAAATTACTGACATTATTCAGTGATGACGTTTTAAGATAATGTAATTCCCTGTAATCGTGGAACAAATGCAATAAAAAAAAAATAAAAATAATTCGTTGACTTGAGGCTCATTTTTGTTGATACTATAATACATTAATTTAAATAACGTTGATGTTATTAATGAATAATTTAAGAGGAAAAAAACGAAAATTGTGACCGGGGAAAATTTTTTTGTCTGTCGAGTATTTTTTCGTTTGCCGATAAAGAAGATTTCGTGATGAAACGACAAATTTTCTAGTGTCGAAGGGGAAATTTTCATGTGCTGGCACATTGCGCCTCAATTCTAGTGCAGCACTAGAATTTTTCCCGGAATTTCTCCACAAAAATTCTCTGACTTTTCTCTCCGTGTAATTGCAGGTTTTGTTGGAAGAAGCCCTCGAATACTGCGCTCTGCTTGGCCAAAATCCAGTCCCGAAAAATTCTCCGCCGAATACCCCGAGACCTTCAAAATTAATCGCAATATTTCCCTCAAACTTCTTTGTAAACAAACAAATGTCAAGTTTTGCAGGCTAAAAATCCCGAGTGCGCAGTACTTTCATTTGTTTGCAACGAAGCTATCGGGAAATATTCCGATAATTTTGAAGGTCTCGGGGTATTATAACTGAGAATTACCTAATTTATTTGAATTTCTAATCTAATATGAATATTCACTGTCAAATGACATTGAATTTTCAATGAAATCTGAAATTTCATGATTTTTTCCCCCTAAATCGCATGCAGTGTCACCGTCCTGAAAATTCTAAAATATATGTACCCATTTTTCTGGTTTTCTATTCATTTTCAGGGAAAAATGGAACGGACATTTACATTTTTCATTCATTTTTTCATGAAATTTTCGAGTTCTCAATGACGAAATTCTTTAAAATTTCAGTAGTAATTAAATTCGATAAAAATTTCCAAAAAATGTACCAGAAATTTCAGACGAAAATTTTCAACAGTATATCGATTCCTCTCGTGATGACTCCGGCTCAATTTATCACATCTCGATTTCCAGTTTTTTGTATTTTTTTTTATATGTAGAAGACCGAGGCGAAGCAAACCGAGGCAAAAACCCAAATTTTAACGCACTCAACATGCATCATGGGAAAACTGAAGGCTCTCTACGGCGAATGAGGAAGTTTGCAGCCGGTTCTTCATAAAACTCTGTCCATTCAACAACTTCTGAATAGTTTTCAATCTAGTTTAATGGACAGTAAAACATTCGATCAGCAGGACGAGCCCCTTTACTCAAGAGTGTATCGTCACTACATATTTACATAACTATGGTTATCGCATTTCCTACTGGAGTGGTTTGCGCAACTTAGATTGGATTTTTTGTGGCTGAGGATTTTTGAAGGATTACTCTACCGCAAAATTAGTAACAACAGAGTGAGCCATCTACATCATTTTTAAGGGGGAGCTTATGTACGGCTTATGTATGGCTTATGTCAAGAACTAAAACATCCGTAAATACACTGAAAGAAAGGATTAGTTATTGTTAACGAATGGATTCGGTTGGAGATGACGGTCTATTTGGTCTCATCAAATATTCATCCGTTAATAGTTAACAAATCTCGTTTGGAATAAATGAATCAGTCTGTCAGTGTAGCCGTTATTTGATTTACTAACAGAAATCAAGAAGAGTTATAAATGTTCATCAAGAGAGGAATCGATAGATACGAAAACTAGCAAGATTTTTCATAAGGTCGATAAGTGCCAAGAAGAGATTAACTTTGCACCCTTCGAGAAAGACAATGAGAACTGTGGGCACACAGCTGGAAGCTGGAGATGCGTAGTTTATACACAGGCACTTCGGGTACTAGCCTGTAAAAGACTGTAAAATTCTCACGACTCAAATTCATGCACGATAAACAAAATCTGCTCATACACATCATGTGAGGGATGAAACCAGACGAAGAAATTACTCTGTAATCGTCCAGACACTATAGTATAGAAATCTGAATGAATGAGGATTTGGTTCTGATTGGACGTACACAGGTCTTTCAAGATCTTTCCAGACCTAGATGGACCTGGTAAGTCCTAATCAGTTCTGCGACGTACTTTTCCAGAGACCTTTCGAATCCTCAGTTCTTTTCGGTCCTGAGAAGTCCTCCTCGATGCTACCGAGAACGCGTGATTTTACGAGCGGGTGAAGGGGAAGGCATGTATGCGGAGGGTTGAAATTTGTAGCCAACGAGGAGACAGGGTTGCAGAATATATTTTAGCCACCCTCATCTCCCCGTTTGCAGGCGGTGTTTAAATAAAAAATAGTGAACGTTGATTCTGTATTTATTGACCCCCTGATGCCAATAAAACCCTCGGAGGTGACAGAAAAGGGGAAAAAAAAATTTTCATTTTCACGTGGGTCAAGGGTGAAAGTCGATTTTCGCCAAAATTGAATTTTATCGCCAAGTGAAAGTTGATTCTGTATTTTCTAACAATTCTGATGCCAATGAAACCCCCGAAGGCGCGACAACAGTCGAAATAATTTTTTTTTTCAACCCGAGCCAAAGAGTCAGATTTTCTGTTTTTCCAAAGGGAAAGTCGACTTTTGCCAAAATCGAATTTTTTAGTCCGGCGAGTATTGATTCCAACTATTTAAGCGACGGGCTATTCAAAACTCAAAAGTATGTGGAAAAAGTGAAAACTGAGAAACCGTTTTTTTGGCCCCAGCCAAAGAGTCAGATTTTCGGGTTTTCCGGGGCAAGTGGATTTTGGCCAAAATCGAATTTTTTAGTCGGGTGAACGTTGATTCCAACTATTTAAGCGACGGGCTATTCAGAACTCTCAAAAGTATGTGGAAAAAGTGAAAACTGAAAAAAAAAATTTTCACCGGGGGCCACAGGGTCAGATTTTCGGTTTTTACTTGGAACAATGGTCAGATTTGTTAACACTTTCATTTTTTATTTGGATAATGCATGCTAGCGTAGGGACAAGAGTGGCTAGAATAGATTCTGCAACCTTCTCCCCTTGTTAGGTAAAAATGTCAAGCCTCCACATACATGCATCTCCCCTCCACCCTCTCGTGAAATGTCGATTTTCGAGATTAAAAAAAAACAATAATTGCATTTTTTATTTCAATAACGTATGAGTAAACAGGGATATGAACGCAGATTTAATATAGGCCCATAGAATTACGGGGACCGGCGAGGATTTGGAAAGTCTGAATACAAGTCCTGCTTACACCTAACAAGTGCTGAAATGGGACATAACCAGAGGTAGAAAGGTCTCGGAAGCACTTGGGAAGAGGCTTCCCAAGACCTATCCAGTTCTGAACGGAAAGACCTAAGTAGAACTTGTCAGGTCCAATTATTCGACTCGGGCGCTCGCTCCAAACAAAACGTTGCCTGGAAAATTTCTTACTCCTAGGCAGGCAGCCTAAAATAATTTTGATCAAATTCGGGTTTAGTTGCACTGATTTGAATTTTAGCAGAGTATCCTGAGATGAATCTGATCAGATTCGAATTCTATCATCCTGATATTAAGTTGAGTAGAGTAGCCTAAAATGAATAATATCAGATTGAGATTTGATCACCCTGATCCGAATCCGAGCACGGCGTCCCCCGCTTCAACGGTCAGACGATTCCATGCAGGGTAAGACAAAACCGCCGAAGATCGGGCCAACATCGGCCCCAATATGCCCAGTGATCGGCAGTAGAATTCGGCCGATGATCCCCCCAACCATGGAGCGTTACCACATATCATTAACGCTGCCGATGTCGGCCCAATGTTCGCGTTTGTTATCCGCCGGGCATCACTTGAACAAATTATGCAATTGGGACCGACGGCCGTGGCTGTGTGGTTAGAGTATGGGATTGGCACGTGAGCGACCCGGGTTCGATACCCGGCTGGGGAGTCAAAATTTGTAACACTCTAATCTCACAGTTTCACTGTCGAGCGGGAGTCTCGTTAAAGGGACGACTGTACCTGGGGAGGTTTTTCTCTCAAGCGAGGTTTTCCCTCGTCCTTCGGCGAATGCGGTACAGGGGGTTGGGGGGTGGGAAGGGAACA